ATGTTTTTCAACACATTCACAGTTAAGATAGCATCTTCTATCTTACGGTTAATTTCCTCTAACGGACTTATCCCTACCTAACATTTATTTCCATTTTTCTTTTTCTAACTCAAACAAATTGAACTCAATCAAGGATACAGGCTTTGCATTTCCAACATGTTAATTCATCGAGTATTGACAATCATTTCAACTTTCTACTAAAACTATTTCTAACATTAAAGGCCCATTATGCCTGAGATATGCTATCATTTTTATTTCTCAAAAACTTTTATTTTTGGTATCTTGTTACAATTTCCAAAACATTACTCATTTGCTATGTAGAGGAACTAAAATTTGCTTCTGTTGCTATATTAGTAATTGGATTAATTATAGTGAAATAGTAATTTGTATGGAAGTCAAAATACTACTTTGTTTACATTGTGCATGTTCAACGCTACTTTCTTTATTTGTTAAACATCTAACATGTTCTGAATCCATTATTAAAACACATGTTTGAAATTTTTAAAGAATGTGGATTTCTGAGAATATTAGAGAAAGGAATGAAAAATTTCAATTAAATTTGGTGTATATAAACTTATGTATATACCTTGCTTTTGATTGCTTTTGGGCCTCCTACAGTCAAGCTCAATGTCACTGTTACTAAAAATAGAAAATACGTTTCTGGTCAATATCTAGAGTTTGGAAAGAGATTTGGTGTAAATCAAACTTTTGTAGAGACCATGAATGGGATGGGTTTTTTAAGCAGCTAGGGTCAAGGTCACTGTTACTGAAAATAGAAAACTGGTGTCCGGTCAATAACAAGAGTTTGGAATAAGATATTGCAATGCAATGTGGTCTATAGTTAGCCTAATGAAGATTTCGCTTATCATTGCTTTTGGGCCCCCTTAGGTCAGGGTTACTAACTAAAAATGGAAAACCATTCTCAGACCAATAACTAGAATTTGGAAAGCGATATTTCAATGAAACTTGGTGTATAGTAACATTTTGTGAAGATTTCTTTGGGATTGCTTTTGGGTCTCATAAGGATTGAGGCCAGGGTTACTAAAAGTAGAAAATCGATTTCTAGTCAATAACTTCAGTTTGGAATTAGATGTTTTAATGAAACTTGCTTTAAACTAAGCTTATGTAAAGACCTCACTTAAGATAGCTTTTTGGCCCCGTAAAGGATCAACCTAGAAAAACTAAAAATAGAAAATCGGTTTCCGGTCAATAACTAGATTTAGGAATTTTATTATCCCCCTAGGACCAAGGTCAAGATATTTTTTCTATCTGCTGTTATTACAAAATACTGACTTATACTTTACAATGATGATAATTGAAAAACCTGGTTTCATGGCATTGTTAATTTCTTGTCATACGTTATTTTTTATCCGGAGCATAACTCGGTCACTTAAGGTCAGACTGACTCTTAACTTGGTATGCATGCTTATTTTAAGGGCCCAAAGTGCAGTGCACAAGAATCGTTACTCTGCATTTTTATTTTTTTAGTAATTGCCCTCTGTTAAGTTGCATACTTTATTTTTGTTCGCGCCAATTGTCATACACTTTAAAAGTTATTGACTTAAAACTTCATAGGATGAAGGATCTAATTGAGAAGAAGTGCAGTGCACAATAACTTGTATTATTGCCCCTCACTTTTTTCGTAATGCTAATTTCCCATAGGCCTCTGCGAGTTATTTTTACTGTTAATGCAAGTGTACCACGTGACTAAGAATTTTGTACTGTTACATAGGTAACAGTATTTTTTAACAGGTCACGTGGTCTATTTCCTAAATAAAATGAAATAAAATGGCCGCCATTTTTCTCGATTCATTCTTATTTTCAATGTTAAACCCCGATAGGACATCAATTTCTCCTCTGGAGTAACTATGACATTTATAAAATTTAGTTGTTTGCAACCTGGTGTGCTTTTCGCGTATAAAATAACTTTTTGTTGAATAGTCAAAAAGTGAACATCCGTTTTCAACGGAAGTAATTGCAATGTAAATAATTATGTGTCAAACTGGAACATGCAGACGATTTAAGCATGCAACAAAGGATTATTTAACAAATTTAATCAGTGAAACGTTACCGATATGGTGGACATAGGATATCATCGTTATTTTGTCAAAAACCATACTAAGAATATTCTGGAAACAGAAGGATCAGATTTCACAGATCATAACCGTGTAAATGGGTTAGTGTTTTGTTTCCTAAATAAAACCTTGTATGTTTATGATTTGTAGATATCATCACTTGCTTAAAGAATGAAAGAAAAAGAAAACTTCTCAAGTAGGCCTACAGTAAAGTACACTTAAAACTAAAAAGGTAAGGACAGTTTAGTTATTGTTACTCTTGGTTTATTTTTGTTACAGTTAGATTTAGTTGACAATTTCAGATCATCTCAGTATTTTTGTTTGGGGTAATAAAATAAATAACACATGGGTTTGTGAGTAACAGTAAAAATATCATCCCTCGCAAAAATACTGTTACCCTCGGCTACGCCTCGGGTAACAGTATTTTCCTCGGGATGATATTTTTACTGTCACCCACAAACCCATGTGTTATTTATATACTCTGCACATGATTAATGATTTATTGCCCTTTGTTAATTTTCATACCTAATAGGCTTGTCCAGAGCAGAACTTGGTCACTTTAAGTTTGATTGACTCCAAATTTGGTATGCAAGCTTCTTTAATCTGTTCTGTCCATAATGATTGAGAAATTGCCCGTCACAGCGTTGTCAGTGTAAAACTTTTCCATGGTATTTATATTTTGTATTATATACCAGTTTTATTTATCATGACGTAACATTATAATATTGCCATACCTTTTCTTTGATTGATATCGTTTATACAAACCATGCATACGTGTATCTATTAAAAACGTTGAATGTTTGGTGATGTTCATTAAATATGCTTTAAAATTCGAGAAAATATGCAATGACAAAATGATTTATCATACACTTAATATTTATTTGGCGATTGTTTAATGTATTAATTTGTTTGTCAACTTTTACCCTCGGTTACGTAAATGATATTTATATTTATATTCAAATTTATGATTTATTAGACATGATCTTTATTCAATGTAATGCCTGAATAGATGATAAACTATATTTAAATCTCAAACCTAATAACGATATTCTGTTGTGTTTAACGATTGTTATATTTATCTATCATGACCCGTGGTAAATTATGAATGTTTACTCTGTACCAGTTTTCTTACAGTATTTTTATAACATACGTCCCTGATCACATACATGTATGTAAGAACATTGCATTGAAATACCTTAAAAATAGTGATAATACCTAGTAATTAAAACTTTTTTTTTCAATTCAGTATTTTATTTGCCATAAACATATACAATTTTCATCACCAATACACAGTTGTATGGCGAATATAATATACAATTTAGAAAAGAATGTTATTACAAAGTTTAAATTGTAGGTAATACATGTATTTAATAATTGATTTGGCAATAAATGGCATAATTATTATATACTAGTCATTTAGATTATTTCTCAGTATCAGCACAATGCAGAGAGTAGTTAACGAATTTAAACCCATTTAAAAAAAATGATAAAAATGCAATAAGGTCATTACATGTTTCTCTTACCATTCGCTAAATATATATCTTGAGGTTTTGTTTGCTTTGAGGGCAAGATAATAATGTTTTAAATTTGTTTAAATTACAGAATACAGAATAGTTATGCTTTTACTTAATTGCTCACTGCTGGAACTGAGAAATTTATCAATAAATAGTATTATTAGAATAAGAAAGAGATTGAGTGCTATTTCGCTTAATTTTTTGAACCAAATGAAATGAAACCAATGAACCAAATTAAAATATTGTTGGTCTCAATATGTCCTTTATTCCTTAAAAATACTAGGGCTCTTTTAAGCAAGGCGAGATACTGTTTTCTTTATTTATCTGAAGAAAAGGCATAAAATGTGACACGTTTTCGCATATACTTTAATAAGTTTTCGTCATGTGAATATTTTGTTTCTATTGCAAGGGAGATAAACAATAAAAATAATAAAACAAACCAGAAACAAGTGGTCCTATCTTGTTCTTATATAGGCAGATGTTAATCTTACGTTTCTACTGCCAAGTTTTATTGTTGATAAATATTATTATTCATTTTTATGCACAGGTGTCGGATTTTTCAAAAGAAACTATAACCTTGATCGGCAATGCTAGTGAATGATCCATCTTGGAAAATGTGTCAATTAAAATAAAAAAACGTCAATTATTTTTTCGAGTGTATATCACCTATATTATGCAGTTTATTCATTCCACAAACCTTAAAGAATCCATTTATACAAATACAACGATATTCGAAATCCGGGTTTTAGTATTGTCAATAAAACAAAGGGACAAGCTGTTAATCAGAGCCTGCAATTTCGTGAAAATTATATCACAATGCACATGCTTTTTATATAAAGTTATTAAATACAAATATAACAACATATTTGTTTACTTGATTTTTACGAATCAAAATAAATATAATTAACACAACATGAAATTAACTGCTAATAATAACAGCTCCTTCCATACGCAAAAATAAAAAGCATTCCATAAAAAACGACGCCGCTCACCGGCGTCGCCAATAAATGTTACACTTAATAAATATTAACCTGCTATAATTGTCTCACAAACGATGATATCTTATCACTTAGACTCAATATCAACCATTATTACAGTGACACATCTATTTGTAATAGTCATATTTTACAGGTATAATTTAACGATTCATCACAATAAATCAAACATTTAAATATATTTGAGCGGTTTTTGATATGTGCAAATGTGCTGATGGAGCATGAAATTTCGATATCAATTTTATCAGTTTCCTTATTGTCTTACTGTGATAATATAGCTGTAAAAATGATATAATTGACAGTATATGGTCCATATGTCAACATTTTGTCATTATGATTATAGCGATATGTAGTAAATTACAAGAAGCTATAAGAGTATATTTATTATATTTCAGTTTTCGTCAATGAGTCAAGTATTTTATTTCAATTTTAAAGTTTAGAAAGTGCATAATTATGCGTCACAAAACGGAAAACGTTTCATGAGTGGAGTAATGAATAATTTTATAATATTTCATGATTTACATTAAGGTAAGTATATTGTTGCTTACTTCGTTGTAAAATCTCCTCATTTATTTATTCATTAAAATTTGTTGCTTAAAATGTTTAAATTAACTTAAACAAAATATTTTATATTCATTGCATAACCTAAAATGTTTTGCTTAATACAATAAAGATATCGATAACGACTTCTCATTTATAAAACGCATGAATGCACAATTTCACATTTGTTAAAACTTGAAAGATCTTAAACAACGTTTCATTAAGCTGCGTCAAACAATTTGAAATATCTCAAATGATGGATGTTTGATTGCTTTCTACCATAAGTATTGTGAAAATAAAATTAGGCATGCATTTCAATGTCATTGTCGAGTTGATTTGTCAATGATATATATAATAGTATGCGTGGTGATAATTTATGTAACCGATGATTAGGGTCATGTAAATGTCAACAAATATTATTACCAATGTCTATCATATGGTTCTTCCTTTCGCTGGCGTTGATACAGACTTTTCAATGCAAATGGATATGTTCTACGAAAACAAATTCAATTATGATATAATTCCAAAATATATAAATTTTTGTTTCTTTTTTATTTTTTAGCATTAGTCGGTAGCAGTAGAGTGAGCAAATGATGATATTAATTATTTATATGTATTCTTTAAATGTACTTTTTTGGCTCAGCGCGAATGTTTTTATAGTTGCAGGTGTTGGTGTTGCGTGAATGTTTTTATAGAAGCAAGTCTCAGTGTAACTTACTATCATAATGGAAGATGGAATTATCCCTGTTCGGAATGTAAATAAACCTGGCGTTATTAGATTACCAAAGAGATATGAACAATTTGTAAAAGAACCAACGTATCATGTCTCAAACAGGAAGTCGAACATTACACGTGCAAAAGATGAAAAAGAAAACAACCAGTTACAGGACATGTTGCAAGCTATAATGTGGATAAAGCAAGAACTAGTAAGTATTTATTTAGATTTTAAGGATAAATTCATATTAGTTTCTAGTTAGTTTTTAATTCTTGTAAACTATTAAGTCAACATAATTTCAATTCAACCTCAAATATAAGTATTGACAGAAGTATTAACGATTGCAGTTGGTTTCTTTGTGTTACTTGCAATAATTATGGTTATATAAATCAAAGCAATAAGATCTCGCAACATTTTCAACGAATCGCATATTACCGTTGGCTGAAGGGAGTTTATATCGTATGCATATGCTGTTTGTGACATCAATTTTGTACATGACGCAATTTCAAGATTTTTTCATGCCAAGTTTTATTATAATTTATATGAAAAGACTAGCGCGCACGTGCCATTTTTTACATTGCTTATAATGGAGTGGGGTAGAAAATAATTTATCTATTTATCTTGGTTATAAATAGATTATTTACATCTTTAAAAATTAGATGCTTGACTCATTAAGTTTATTGTTTATATAACAGCATTATTTTGTCATTTTAGGTTTTGCTGAAACAACATGACATTTTACTTAAAAGACAATTTTGTGATATACAAGACACAATAAATACTCTGAACAAGGTTAGGAAATACAGAAAACTTCCTGTAACTGATTCAAATACAAGTCTTCAATCTGCAGAAGGAAATGAATTAGAAATGGACAATTATTCTGTACGTTCCGCGTCAAGTGTTACGGCATTAACCAGCACAGATTCGGATTCCGATGAGGACGAATTAGCTCGTCCTCGTACATGCTCAATGATGACAACGCGGGATCTAACAGCTCTCGCGAGACGACGAGGAAGCAAGGAAATGATATAAATCCTGAATTCAGAATAAAATTCAATAATAACAAAAATAAGTCTATCTTGCATTTTTATTTTAAATAACACTTTGCATATTATGTGAATGACACATGTAAGTATGTATTTAACAGTTATGTTACGACAAAAAAACTCTTCTTTTGTATGTGAATATTTCTTCTTGCGAACGAATAATTCATGCTGTAATTCAAACTATACAAGTTTCAAGCTAGACGAAAAATTATTCAAATAAGTAATAGCATATTATTTATTGATTGCTAATATAGCCTATGTTTATCGTAAAAAATGTTGGGAATGAAATCAACATCAAAACAATTGGTGGAAAAGAATTCAGTTGGCCAAGGCATTTTATAAAATCGTTTATTTGCCGACCCATTTAATATGCCATCGAAAATTAAAACAAATATCCTTCTAGGAGAACGCTTAATTAATGAATATGGTTATAAACAGGAGTCTTGCAAGAGAACAAGGGAACGCTTAATTTATGAATATGGTCTTGCAAGAAGACAAAATTCCTTCTTGGGGAACGCTTAATTTATGAATATGGTTATAAACAGGAGTCTTGCAAGAGGAGTTATAATAGCTTAGTAGATATTTCAGAAACAAAGTCGTGTGACGGTATTGTGGAATTTAGCACCATATTATAATCAGGTGATAAACAGATGACAAAATAGCAGTGAAATGTGTCGCCTTAAATTGAACCTACATTAACGTTCACTTGAAGTTCTAATCTAATAAGTAAGCTGAAATATATATACATTGAACTGGACAAAAACAAGAAGAAAATTCCCATGTGTTTAAGCCGACTAACAGTGTTATTAAAGAAATAAAAATGTAATATGAGTACATATATTCGGGCGAATGGGCAACTTTATTGGTCCTCTGAATAACAAAAAATTAATGCAAGAATATAAAAGATTTATTTATTATTTTATTTTTATATACTGGGTGTTGAATATGAAACAATGGTTTCTTCATCTATAGCATAAAATCTTAACAAAATATTTCTATTTATATAGGAAGTTTGAAACAAAAAGGTATTATCAAACAACATCGACCTGTCACTCTTGCATTTGACCCTATAGTCGCGCAAACCGATTTTTTGTGTGTCTATGATCTGTGTAGTATTTTAATTACTGCATATATGCAGCTCAAGCATATACGAATGCAAAATGTTGCAAAGAAAACCGTTGAAACATACGCTTTCAAGAAGTAAACTTGCGATTGTACGTACGTCCGAATATTTACAAAAACATCCTTTAGACCACATCTATTTTTCTTCTCAGAGAAGTTTAAAAGTGTTTGATATATCCAACACATCATAGTAAAGTGTTTGATATATATTCAACAGTTCAACTAAAAGGAAAACCCCGTTATGTGCACGTTTTAAGCGGGAAAAATTCTATGTAATACTTGTACATGTTATAATTCCCTACTTTAAAAAAAAACACTAACAGAAAGCACTTGTTTTTTGACCCATTCATTTCGTCATTTTATCATTTTACAAGAATATTTATAGTGTGTTTGTAAATAAGATAAAAACAATCAAGAATGAAATGAAATGTTTTAATCAATCTATGATATAATAGAAATTTTATGACCGCTTTTATTAACGACGATGGTGCTAATATTTTCAGGCAATATAAATCCTAAATGCCCGGCTCACTCTTAATAGCAGACATTGTGGATGTACATTCATTTACTGGTTTGGGAGGAGGGGCTTGCTCTGGTTTGGGTGGAGGTGGAGTTTCCGAACGGTAACTCAGCTGCGGTTGCAATTCTAAAGCCCGTCTCACACAAAACACGGTTGGGCACACGATTCCCATACGGTATACTCGGTTATACACGGGTTGACTGGTACGAGAATAGAGCTCCAACCGTGCCCGGGGATTAGTTGGCACGAATTATACTCGAATATAGCATGAGTATGTACGAATTGAGCACGGATATACCCGGTCAAGCAAGGTTTGAACACGATTTGCATACGAATACATACGACTGTTGGACGGTTCCAAGTACGGTCTAGTACGGTGTGGTACGATTAAACACAACTTTTAAACACAACCTAGCCGGTGCTAGGGGCGTAAGGGATGTTGCACTTATTCATTATCCCTCATGTACAGACTCAATCAAACCGAGTCTGCAATTCTCATGTTATTTTGTTGTGATTAATGCTACCGAGGGATCACTTTGTTTCCAGAATTTTTTACTCGATTTACTCGGCTTTCACATGGTTAACATAGGGTTTCGCCGACTTTTGTTCGAGTAATACTCGAATTGTCACACATTCGTGTATGTTTAATATATATTAACCCATTTTGATAATTTTTCTTCATAAACTTTCGAACTTTCAACGAAGAAAACCTATTTATACATCATTAACATCAATAAATGATTAAAAAGGTAAAGCAATGTAAAATGTGTCTTTTTTCTTGGGTGCGGTGGTTGCTTGGGGTCCACCGAGCTGGCATTGGAGTCTGAATCCCTAGAAGACATGGGAATTACCGGTTGGTCCTCTAGCTCATCAGGGTCAAGTTGGAGTGGTCGGTGGGCCTGTAGCGTGACAGCAGGTAGTTGTGTTTTTTGTACTTTTCTTGCTAACGTAAAGGCCGTGTAAGACCGTACGAGGCAGTGTGAGACCGTGTATACCCTTACTATACCATTTCGGCCATGTATGTTTCGTACATGAACCGTATTAGTCTTATGGCGATCGTATGAAACCGTGTGTGCGCTTGTTCGAATCGTACCGTGATCTTGTGACATTCGGGTGTTAATCTGGTATTGGATGTAGGACTTGGGGACGGTCTCGAACGGTTCCATACGATTTATATACGATCTTGGCACGGCTGGGCTCACTCGTGGAGTGGACTTCACATACGGCTGTATATACGGTCTCACACGGTCTTGTACGGTCGCTTATACGGTCATGCACGGACATGGCATCCGTATCAGTTTTTTTTTAAATTTTAAAAATCATACACGGCTTACACGGATACACTCGAATGGCCCGAGTGTAACTCGGATAACACTACGGTTAGTTCGGTTGTATGTACGGTTTACACGGGTGGCCAACCGTATAAGCCGTATGTCCTGTGTAAAGCCCATCTCACACAGAACAATCGGCTTACACGGTTGGCCACCCGTGTAAACCGTACATACAACCGAATCAACCGTAGCGTTATCCGAGTAACAGTCGGGCCATTCGAGTGTATACGTGTAAGCCGTGTATGATTTTTAAAACTTTTAAAAAACTGACACGGATAAGACATCCGTAACCGAACTACCTGCTGTCACGCTACAGAGTCCGTGTATGATCGTATTAGCAACCGTACAAGACCGTAAGAGGCCGTGTGAGACCGTATGAGACCCGTACATACAACCGTTTTTGAATTCCACTACGAGTGAGTCCAACCGTGTCGAGATCGTATACAAATCGTATGGAATCGTTCGAGACCGTCCCAAAATCCTACATCCAACACTCTATTAAAACCCGAATATCACACGATCACGGTACGATTTACACGAGTGCACACACGGTTTCATACGATCGCCATACGACCAATACGGTTCAAGTACGAATCATACACGGCAGACACGGTATAGTACGGGTATACACGGTATCGCACGGCCTCGTACGATCTTACACGGCTTTTTTCATTGAATATTAAATATTTAGGAAATAGTTTTAGTACGCAGCTTCTACTTATTTCTGAGAGTTTTCTTTGAAATAACTTACTTTATTATTAAGGCACTTCTTTTAAAATTATCCCTTTGCAAACATTAATGGTTCCCATAGTCCCTTGGTCTTGGTCCCTATTATATCATCTGTTATCCCTGAGGTAGTTTCTTTGTTGCTTTCTAATGTTATGTTCTACGTTACGGCCAACAGGTACTCCTGCGCCTGCTAGTAGACCCTCCTCTAGCCATACTAGGGCTTGGTTTGGTCCTCTTGGTCGGCATTAACTGTTACACCAGTGTATCGTATCCTCAAAAGGTTGTGCAACATGACGCAGGCAAGGAATAGGGACATCACACTTTCTGTTTTCTTATAAACTGTTGCATGAAGCAAACATTGAAATCTGTTGGCCAATATACCGAATGCATTCTCCACCACTCTTCTTGCACGGGACAGTCTGTAATTAAATATGCGCTTATCGTGACCAAGATCCATCCTTGAGTAGGGCTTCATCATCCAGGTCATCAATGGAAATACATTCTCACAGGAAGAAGAAGGACAGGTTTTCGTTCAGGCCTGGCAGCGGCCCTGGATTAGGGAAACCTAGTTCACAACCTTCCACCAACTGCCTCAATTCAGAGTCGTTGAACACTTGAAAATCGGATGCTGAACCATACTCCGCCACTGATGCCCATACGATCTTGTAGTCGGCATCTGCCAATGCCAGAAGGATCATGGAGAAAAAGCCCTTGTAGTTGTGTTAGAGTAATCCAGATTTTGGTGGAGCCTTGATAAGAATATATCTGCCAACCATGCCACCACAAGCATGGGGGAAATTCCACTTGATGTTGAACCTTCCATTTACCTGGCTCAACATGTGGTTGCTTAACTTCGGCTTTTAATGTGTCGACTATGGCCTCCAGGACGGTCGGTATGAATTTGGAGATTGAATTGTCTGCTACATGGAAACTGTACATCAACTGTCTGAATGTTACACTAGTGGCCATGTGTCTGAGTGTGATTGCAAGCATGAGCTCCAATTGCTCTCTAAAAATAAATAATAGTAAACAAACATTTATCAGCGACATTTATTTTAAAATTCTCACATATATATTTATACATACTTCTACTATCGATCATTGAGATAAGTATTAATAATTCATGCTATTTATATTTTGCAATTTTTTCCCTGGAAAAAAAAAATAATATCGTTAACCTCCAATTGGATGTCCTCTTAGATATCTTTGGCCCAACGCGTCTCACCAACTCCCCAAACAAGTCGGCATCAACACGGAGGAAGTTCTTGTAATGCATAGGGTCCTCTCTGTTTAGTTCTTGTAGCAGAGTCTTAAATTGACCAACATGGTCCTTCTGTTGAGCCATTCTCTTGTTCAAATTTGCCTCCTTCTTCTCTGTCTTATGTTGGTTTGATTTTGTCTCTCCTCACGTCTTCTGGCCAAAATAATCTCTATGTCTATTAGTCTAATCATTATTTCTAGTTCCCTTATTGTTGTTCGTTGCATCTGCTATTGTTTTTATTTTTCGTTGAGAATTCGAAAATTTATGAAGCCAAGCTATCAAAATGGGTAAATTTATATCAAAACATACACGAATGTGTGATAATCCGAGCATAACTCGAAAAAATTCGGCGGGATCCTATGTTAGCCCTGTCAAAGTCGAGTGAATCGAGTAAAAGTCGTGATTAATCGTACCAGACCGTATCAGACCGTAGTTGGAACCGTACAACATTCGTACATATTCGAATGCAAATCGTGTTCAAACCTTGCTTGACCGAGTATATCCGTGCTTTATTCGTAAATACTCTTGCTATATTCGAGTCTAACTCGTACCAACTAATCCCCAGGCACGGTTGGAGCCCAATACTCGTACCAGTCAACCCGTGTATAACCGAGTATACCGTGTTAGAACCAAGTGTCCAACCGTGTTTTGTGTGAGACGGGCTTAAGATGGACTTAAGGAAATACTACGCTTTTAGGCATCTGTCAATGTCTCCGCCTGGACAAAAATATACATGTATGGTGTAACTATTATTATCATTAATACGGTGTTAAGCTGGTGGAAAAAATAATATTTTGGACAAAATAATTTAAACCTATATCATTTTATTGAAGGTATGATAACATTTGTTATCTTTTTGCAGTTCATGAATGATGTAAAAAAGCCAGTGCATGATGTATATAAAGCATACAGTAAATAAGCGAATC